ATCCTTATTTACCTTTCTATATCCATTGATAATAATTGGACGTCGATTAGATATAACAACAAGATCTTCGATGTCTCCAATACTCCCTTCAACTTCCTAAAAAATCAAGTCCACGATGCATCATTCTCAGAATCAACTATACCTCGAGCAAGCGGATAAATCTGAATATTTTCATCTTGACAAGTAGCAACAATCAGCGTACCTTTATATTTCTAAGTAAAAAATGTCCCATCAACAACAACTACCTTCCACATTGAAGAGTAAAATCCACGAATGCAAGGTTCGAGAGCCATAAAAAGTACTTGAAGCGGTTCTCACTATCAATCTCTAAAGACAACGCTGTTCCAGGATTAGGTCTTTCTAAATTATGAGAATATAGGCCTAATTTAGCATAACTATCCTAGGAGAAACCTCTTAAAGCTACTAAAGCAAATTCTCATGATTTTCGCGCCTTTGATGACTCATATCTACCCCGAATTCCCAACGCATGTCATTATGATGTCTATATATACAGTATTGGGATTTTGAAAATTTAGCATTATATGTCTTCCAACAACCCATGATCTTGCCTGTATATGATCATTTTGATGAATACTTTCAGAGCAAGTATATTTACATGCATACTTGCTAACTTGAAGGTAATCACAATTTTTGAATTTAGTTGCTTGCAAACACTATTTGTAATTTTCATCTATGTAAACAATTGTATAGACTTCCTTATTTGATTTCTTCACTCTAAATTCAAAGTTGTTCTTCATTGCAAGCATGTGGACTTCCATCATAAGATCTTCTTTCGTGTTGAAAATTTGACGATCTTCTAAATCTGTATATTCGAAAATCAGATGTGACGAAAGAGTTGAAACTACAAGGTGCTCATTAGTAAAAAGATTTTATTCTCTATTGTTTTGAAGCATCTCGGATCCATGTGTAGAGAAAACAACAGTGTTACCATTTTCAGTAATATCCATATTATTGTCTTAGGCTATCTCCAACTCATCCCAATTAAAATTCTCAATCCGATCCACTTCATTATCATCATCTATTTGCATTTCACAATGAAGATTGTTGCCTTCATTTTACATTTGACAATGAACTTCATGGTCTTCCACTTCATAAAATGAATCATTATCTTCTTCTTGTGGATGTTCAACTGGTTCTTTGCTAACAGGTTTACACAAATTGAACAATGAGATTTATTTATTTATTTTTGAGAGATAGCAACCACAACATTTGCTTGTCTGAAGTAATTTTAATTGGAATTGAAAATTATCCATTTTCAGGGAGAAGAAATCTAATTTCAATTTGATGTAAAGATGAATCAACTTTACAAATGTTTAGCACTTTACAATATAGATCATGATACGAAGTATCTAAAGATATTGAATCTCCTTCCACCATTTCATCACTCCCGTTTCGTTTCCATATCCATTTTCCTTCATCATCATGAATAAAATCACCAGAATAAAATATAACAATCCATGTTGTTGAGTCCATATTTGTAATTAGATTTTGCTTTTCAAAGCCACATGAGATTCAAAAATGAATTTAAACACTTAAATAAATAGAAATGGCACTGAGTAGACGTACAAATAATAAAACACAAGATTAAAAAATAGTTAAAAGTGAGAAGAATATCTTACCAATATAAAATGTAGAAATATAAGAGTTTGTTCTTTGAGTGTGCTTCTTTATATTTCGAATAAAACTAGATTAAAAAAAAAAAGAATAAAGAAGTAGAAGATATAGATAAACTAAAGAAGAAGACAAGAAGAAAGCTGAAATTTCAAAAGAGAGCAAAATAGTGAAATTAATAGTTATAATTTGAAAAATGGGCGTTATGATCATTATGTACTAGGGCATTTGGGATATTTCAACCATATGTACAAGGATAATTTGGACATTTTAACCTAAAAAAGACCTCAAAAACTTTTCTATAGTAAGTTGGGCCTAAAAGGATTTTGAATGACTTGATTAGGCCTTTTATAAAAATACCTCTTATTAATTGATAATTTTTATCAATGAAATGTGTCAAGACAGCAATTCTTGCTGATTGTAGACACACTACATTAACAAACATCTTACTAAGAAAATAGATTTGGATTAAGTGATAGATGAGGATTTTTTTTAATTATTATTATTTTTTTGGATAAAACCTCGTCAAGTACAATTTTATTCTATAAAATTTCGTTGAGCATAACTACATTAATAAGCAATCTCACATTTTATAATAAATTCTTGATTACATTATAATATATACTTTTCCTAAATTTAAGTCCCCTTGCTTCAAACTCTAACCAAAATCTTTCGCCGAACATAACTACATTAATAAGCGATCTCACATGTTATATCTAATTCTTGATTACATTATAATATATAATTTTTCTAAATTATTTAAGTCCCCTTACTTCAAACTCTATCTCTGTCACTAACAACTTTATTAAAGTACGCAAATGACCTCAAGTCATCAATAATCCAAAACCATTTTCAAACCTATTTATATATGCAACTGAGATTTAGAGCGAGCTTTAAGGTGGGGCAGTTGGAAAAATTCAAATGGTGCATTAAGTCCCCATCAAAGGATGATTTCTTCAATTCTATCGTGCATTATTTGGGCACCCATCTCAGCTTTTTTTGTCGGCCTTTTGTCCTCTCTTGACCCACCCACCCTACCCCACCCAACATGCACACTCATCTCCTTCATTAAAAATTTCTTTCTTTTTTGACTCTTTTTTTTTTCTGAACTTCTTACTTATTGTTAGTAAGACACTAAGGGTCGATCGAGAGGTCATTAGACGTATATTTCTTTTTTTCTGTTGGCTTACTTGAAGTTAAGGTTTTGGTACCCTCCTAAATCATTTGCATTTTCATGTTCATCATTGATAAATTGGCACAGAACCTTATCGAATATGGACATTGCTGTTTGTAAAGGGAGGGTTTGACACCCTCCCTGACAGAACAGACTCATAGGGGGAGGGGGGGAGCAATTTTTTATCATTTTTTTTCACTTGGGTCCCATGCGGGTCCTACGCAAATGTGAGAATCTATCAAGAATGTGGTAAACTATTTTTCTGTACAAATGGTATTTTCCACCGAACATAAACTGCCATGATTGGTAAGAAATCTATCTATAGGAATGTTTTAGTTAGGAAATAAGGTAACTACTTGAAAAATGTTCCTATACTTCTTGAAATATTTTAAGGAAAATTATCCCATAAAATATGATTTCTCCAAAAGATGTACATGTGATAATATTTAGATGTATGATGAACAGTTTGAACAACAAAAAATCAAATCCTTTAGAGTTTAGAATCATTAGAAAAGACATTCAATAAAGCAAAAGGGAAGATGGTGTAATATATGCTTTATCAGCAGCATTAAAAGTTAAGATGCCATGCATAGATATTAGAGTTTCCTTTCCATCCTATTATTAATTTTTATCATATACTAAAAAAATTAATCTATTCCCTTATCCGTATCTCGATGAGCCGAAACCAAATCTCTTATTTTGTGTGGACTAATAATTCATAGATCTAGATCATAATTGAGTATATTCACGGCTAATTAAGCGATTGTTTGATGGTTATTATTAAGGAAAAAAAATGATGTTTTAGATATTGATTTTATGAAGAATGTGTAATTAAAAATTAGGAAAGAATTTTGTATTTACGTGCAAAATATTTTATTGTGTTATTAAGCTACTTGTACAAGAATTGTATGTGTTAGAAAAATCATTGTCATTGATTTCAAAAACAGTTTTTCAAATGAATGGATATGATGTGTCACTCACATGATTGTCAATCAAATTATATTGTACAAGTAGCATAATTGTTTATTATGTAAAATTGCGGTTAAAAATGAATATAAGAATTAAAGAATTTTTATTTAAAGGGAAACAAACATGAGCTAAATTCTAGTTGAAATAGGATTGTCACAAATGATGCATAGAGAATTCGTTTCATATGCTTTTCTTCCCCAAGCTTTTTAGGGACTTTTTTTTTTTTTTTTTAATGATTGGTAAGTGTGAATTGTATTGATAAAAAATATATATATAAATACACCGGGCATTCTCGGGCTTACGAGTCCAAACTAAGTACATATACAACTACATTAGACATTTCTGGGCAAAACAAAAGTCTGGATAAATAATTACAACTAGTACAAATTAAAGACTCATAATAAATCAAAACATTCGGAGACCCTTCTTTAGATAAGTGAATTCCGCGTCTAAAAGGCGTTGTGTCGTTCTTGGAAATTTTTTTTTTTCCTTCACAAAAGAAAATGGAGTTGTTTTAGACATTTCATTTAATATAAATTACAGTTAAACATAAACAACCAAACCCTAGACTAAAATACCTTGGGATTGGATATAAGAAAAAAAGACATCAGTGAGAAATGACAATAAATTAGTAATCCAGAATTCCTCCATTAATCAAGAGTCAAAAAGCAGAGGCCCACCACAATAGTTGCACTCTTAAGGGAATTAAAAATATTAAAAGAGTGTTTGATAGTCATTTTTATGTAAAAATGTATTTTAAAATAGTAAATTGATGTGAAATGTATACTTGAAAAATAAGGAAAAGTTTTTGATTTGCGTGTAATATTATTTTAATAAAAAATTTGTGATTGAAAAGAAGAGAAAGAAAAATACATTTTGAAAAAAATGACTACCAAACGGGACCTAAATGACATTCTTACATACATTTTTAATTGAGATCACTTATACATGAATAAGGTTTCATTCCAAAAGATTAACATATTAAGTGGGATAACTCAATTCTACATAAAGTATCTCTAATCGACGTGCTTTTATTTATTTATTTTCGGACTAAGTTTCAAATAAAGCCAACACGCAAACCACTCAAAACATTCTTTTCTTGCATCAAAAACAGCTGCAGACAAAGGAGCTGAAATATCTCTACCTTAAAGACATCCAATTGCTTTTTTTGCAACTTTTTTCTTCGAAAGAATTCATGGATGCTTCTCAGTGGACGCAGGTGCATAGACTTCTTTGTAGTGTTTTCTCTGGAATTTCTTAACATTCTTTCCCTTTTATGTTCCTTGTCTTGTTGCACCTATTCATTTTATTTTAGAACTTCCATTAGAGTTTCAAATAGTTTATTATTAGATGAAAGCACTGCACTTTTGTTTCTTCCACTTTTTGCATGTGGTAATCAATAAAGCCAAAGGATTGAGAAGAAGGTATTATTCCGTATTATTCTTAATTGTTTCATTTTGTCAATTTCAATAAAGGATTCTCAAAACCATAGTCAGCTAGTCTTGTCAGTCTCACATAATTTTCTCTAACGATACGTTTGCTGTGCAACATAATTAGACAGTACTAAACAGTATAATAAACAGGATTTTAGCTTATTTTCCGGTTGGATTTCAGGAAATTGGAGTGGAAAAATCCATGGCAGAAATAGCTGGAGATACATGCTCAAGGCCAGTAGTAGAGAAAAAGGTGAGGCCACAAAATGAACAAGCCCTAAATTGTCCAAGGTGTCATTCGACGAACACGAAGTTTTGTTACTACAACAATTACAGTCTTACTCAACCAAGATACTTCTGCAAGACTTGCAGAAGGTATTGGACTGAAGGTGGCACCCTTAGAAATGTTCCTGTGGGAGGCAGTTCGAGAAAGAACAAGAAATCTACTTTAAGTTCATCATCATTTGATTCATCCCATAATAAACTTCCTGATCTGAACCCTCCAATTATCTCTCAATTTTCTGATCAAAACCCTAATGGGCAAGATCTCAACTTAGCTTTTTCTGCAGCTCCACAACAGTTCTATCGTGGTACTGTTCCTCATTTTCTTGAATTCCCTAAGATTGAGAACAGCAATAACATCAACTCTTCTTCTTCGAATCCTGTTTCGGCCCTAGACTTGCTGAGGACTGAAATTTCTTCAAAGGGATTGAATTCCATTTTTCCTACACCAAATGTGGAAACTAATGCACTTTTTGCATCAGGTTTTCCAGTTCAAGAATGCAAACCAGCAGCCATTGGTTTTTCCTTTGATGGAAGGCTTACATTTCAACGACATTCGGGCACAGATGAAGTCAATAATCAGATCAACAAGGGACAAGATAACTCAAATGGATACTGGAATGGAATGTTAGGTGGAGGATCTTGGTAAAAAGAAGAACAAGCAAAGTCACTTTTTTCATCTTTCTTTTTGTTTTGTCGATTTTCTTTGTTCCTTTTCATGGTTGGTTAATTAGTTGTATGGAGTTGTTTAGAACTAACATATTACAAGATTTGTATGATTTTCTTGATTTGCTTTTGATTAATTTCTTCCTCATTTCACTCTTAATCATCCCAGTATTATTGGTTTCCTTCAATTTCTCTCATAAATAGTACTCCTAGCTAAAGCTAATCCTAGGTTTCCTATTTATGTTTTGTTTGAGATTGTGACTCAAGATAGAAAATCAAAAAAATAAAAAATAAAAATTCTTTCATTCTACAATAATACTCTAGATTTGTCATACCATGGTCTATTAATTCACTATGTCAGAAAGACTTGGCCAATATTTGATAACCATTATTTGAAAACTATTTTTTCTATGTACTTATTTTTTATCGCACATTCACACAATAAAATATTCTGCACGTAAATTTAAAATTTTTTTCCTACTTTTTAACCATATAATTTCTTAAAAATCATCACTCTAAACATTATTTTTTCCATATAATGACTATCAAACAAGGGATTAAAGTGACGGTATTGAACAAAATCGAAAGTGTAAAACTTGAATTTTTCTTCTTCGATCCTTGACATAATCCACTATGTAGTTGTGCTGTTAATAGTAGATATAAGGAAACAAAGTTTACCTGCCTCGACCAAAAATCTCACCTAATCAATTTTTATATATCCACTAAGTGTGAATAGCCTAGACACTTATCTTCCACCCCACGTTATTAATTCAAACATAGATATAAATTTTGAATGTGAATTACTATGCATATGTCACGTCACTTTGGAGGGTCCCGTCCCTTTAGACATTTCTCTAGGCGAATGATCACCCCCACTAATTCCATTTTGGCCGACAATATTTTATAAATTGATTAGTATTTAAATAAAAATATAATATTCATAGTCATTGATAAATAAAGAGGCACGATCTCTTGATTATGGTAACGATCTCTTAGCGAGATTTACAGCTGTCTATCCTGTATTTTTCCTTGCAATTCGTAATTTTTTATTAAACATGTCATTTTAATGAAAAAGATTGTTCCATTTTTCGTTGGTGCTGGTAAAGTATTAGATTTCTTGGGAGATCTTTGTCCTTCAACAATTGGAACGACAAATCCCTATTTTTCTGATATGATTGAAATGTTCAGAGCATCTCCAATGCAATCTATAGATAGTCATTTACGCGATAAATATGTGTAAAAATTTACATTTTACGTGATATTATACTGTAACATTGATGTCTAATATTATCTTTAATGCATTGCATACTGTCTATGTACGTTGAAAGATGGACTTACGGTCTACATGATATCGATGACTAAAGAATTAGCCTCCAACATAATACTAATGCTTGCATGTATTTTACCTTAAAATAAAATTAAGCCCCAAGTTTAAATAAAAATTAGATTTTTTTAGTAAATTCTGATAAAATTGATAAAATGTGCATATTAAAAGTTGATAAAAAGTTATAAATACCATAAAATACGTGATTAAAAATGAATTTGAGAGTGAGGGCCAGTTCATAGTAAGGAAGGGAGGAAATCCAATCCTCTAAAACACAAAATTCAATATGGCTGAAATTGGTTGAAAATGAAATGTCAGTCCAATTCAAAAATTTCAATTGTATGCTTGACTTTCTTACCCTAACCAAAAATCTCCATCAATAAGTCTACTCAGTCGTGCTTTAAACCAAATCATCTTCGGACTCTCTCAGACGCAGTCTCAAACATGCTTAACGCTTTCCTCTCTGCTATTACATACATTCACGGTGTCACGAGCATTTTCCTCCCATAAATGGGAGCATCAAACCCACCACGAAAATACCACTTTATCCCGTCAAATGACACACCACAATAGTGCAAAAGATTACACTTACTCGATGGCTAATACAAAAAGGAAGTTCATACATATCGACTTGATCTTCCTAGGCAAGTCTAGTTTCCGAACATAATGAGCAACGCAGTATGCTCAAATACGCCAGCCGGTAAAATCAAAATAATCATAAATACACAAGCTAATAAGTCTGTAGAGCAAACCACATTCTATTACAAACCAGATGTAAGTTTCAGTTTCAACTTCTATACAGGCATTACCCTCTTTGCAGTATAATGGGGACCAGACATATTTTTGTACAGCCGTGTTTGATATGTCGGACAAATAGCACTGGATAGGATTTAGGACAAAAAGGAGTTAATAGTGTCTCCAGTCCTATAAAGCGCCATCCCATACAGAAAATCAAACAGGCCCTTGATACAAAAGGGATCAAGTCACTGATCCCCATTAATTCCAAAGATTCGGACCTTATGCATATTCGGGAACTTGGCAACAACTAGAACAAGAACTGCAAGTGTGTTGAAGAAGAGCATTGGGTGTTGGTAGTCAGTTGTATGTGAGGCTATCAAGTAGCTGCAAACAAAGCAACAGGACAAAATCATACAAGTACAATTTAATGTGGATGATAAAACATAATGTCATACTCATCAATACGAGCAGTGATTTAATTTTGAAACTGAGAAAAAGTACAAAATCAGAATGGAAAAGAATAAATTCCGTTTTGTCCTTCACCACCAATATTATCACATATAAATCCAATTAATTTATTAGAATATTCAAAAGGCAGGCAACTGATTTATAGATTTTAAAATTGCAGACCCTTAATATGTTTGTCTCGCTTTCTTGCATATCTGATCAAAACCAAACATTAGAAAGAGCATTTCCCGTGTTTTCTTTGGTTTTGATACATAATCCCAACAATTTAACTTTAATAGCCCCATCACATTAAAAGCACTTCAGAGTCATATTTCTCTTCTAATTTTCAGACAAAAAAACAAATGTATTTTCCAATAAATCGTTGCTCACTTAAGAACAGTAAAGCTCTGTCCTGAATAGCTGATGCGCTGATGTCAAGTCAAAAAATAATTATGCACATAATTAATTATAATAATTTGCAATGGTTGCACGTAACATTCCACCACAGCGTAGGCGAAAAAATCCTTGGTCAATGTTCTCTAGCTAAAGGGGAGGAGGTTTGCCATCTTCAGATATTGCATTGTCTCTAAAGATGGATTATAACCAATCCCTTAATCTCCGACACACACATCCGTCTCCATTCCCAGAAAGATAAAGAAACAAAAGAATAGCATTCAACAAGAAGCAAAAAGAGTAGAACCAAAAGATGGACTTACAGCACCACGGGTACAACTGTTAGGAACTTTCTATTGCGGGTGAGCTGCTTTCCATCATCAATCTGCTCCCACCATGTCAACCTATTATATATTCCCTGATCATCAGCAAAAGGAGTTCCCTTTTTCCAATGGAAGAAGTGATAAGTTACCTAATTGTAGAAAAAACAGTCATGTTAATACAAAACCAAAACTGGATTAGCGTGAATGGCACGTAGAAAATGATAAAGACCTGTTTAACAGTTTTACCCTCTAAAAAATTTTCTGATGAAAATCATTTCTCGGAATAGTTTCACAAGAGAGAAATACATTCATAAATTTTAAGGAGACGTCTTCAGAGCAGAATATATGCCAACAAATAGATAAGGCTTAACAAATGATTAAAATAAGAAGGAACAATTATTAAAGAAAGGACAAACTGAAAATGGGTTAGTTCAATGATTGTACATAGATTCTCTTGTATGTAACTTAGACATACACACAGCACTATAGTTAAGAAGTATGTCTTTAGTCTAACTTACAATTAACCATCGAGCTAATATATTGCAAGTCACAAGGATTTTCAAAATATAACATTCCTTCGATACATACATGAAGCTATAACATAACAACAAAAAGGAAGATACCCATGATTTGATTCATCGACATTATGAAACATAACAAATGTGTAGATCAGAAATGGCATATATTATTGTACTTCGAGGGCTCGAGGCCATATACACTTCGCTCATCAAGTATGTGAATCTACATCAAATGGATCGACAGCTGCCATAGTGTACACCATCCATCAGTCACTACTTTTTGCCTTGTGTAGCTAAAATTTATTTGGGAAGCTTAAAGTTTTAATGTTCATATGTATACATGTCGCTGTCTATCACAGAATAGGGGATAATTCAAACGTCTAGCTGAATTAAATAAGAAGTAACAGGAAAAATGTACTTCAATTTTATACATGTTTCCATTTTGTTTTTGAAGAGCATATGGATTCATAAAACAAAATGGAACTTCACCAATACATATGCACGTGGCATAAGCATAATATGATGCACATGAAACCTTCAAGTACACACCGTCTGAAGGTAAGGTCTGAATGTGTACAGGCCACTCCAGAAAGGTCTATATATTTTTGGATCTAAATTAGCCTCCAATTGGTTAGACTAACATCAATTACCCAATTCCATGGCATTGGCTCCATTCCCTGTATCATAATATGCAAGGGCAGAGTAGAGCCAAAACTTATGTGATCTTGTCTGTAATATATGTCCACCCAAGAGGAGAAAAATCATATTTGTTTACAATATCACAGCCATAGAGGATAGAATTTCTTGATAGCGACCTGAGTTAGGTTTCCTCTGTTTTCTTGTTCATTGCATACTTTTATTCAGATACACTTTGTTGCTCTGTAGAAGTTTTTCTTTCACGGAAAAGAAAAAAAGGAAGAAACAGTAGTGACAATTGAGCCAGTATTTACTAAAGCCCTAAAAACACCAAGAATGGACCCATATCTTTTTCCATGAAAAGTGAATTTGATGGCCGCAAAAAATCTTAGTAGAAATGCCAAAAACTCTTTGCAGGGACCAGATGCAATATTTACCATGCCCAACTCTCCATTTATGATCATCACGTGAAATTTGATGCAACCAACTGACACACAATGAGTCCATTTAAAGCAGCTATAATAGGTATCACGGAATTTAACAGTTAAAAGGACATAGAAAAAGCTTCAATTTTACCTATAACCCGAGAATAACAATAAAAAAAGGAAAGCTTTCAACTTTCACGCTAACATAAGAGTGTCTAAGCCTCAGGTAAGTAGGTTTACATCATGAAAATAAGAAAGCTAAGTTCGAAACCGTGAATCAAGAACCCTACAAATCGTCACAAATAAACGAACGGAAATCTTAATTAAGCTTCAACGATCTCATCATAATTCATGACTAATCTCTTAAAAAAAAACTTAAAAACCTAGCAACAGAATAAACCTTTAACCCCAATTAAACAAATAAATGTAATAAACACATTAAAAAGGGTAAATTGCGTACGACAAAGTGGCAGAGGTTAACAACGGTCCATGCCATGCCCGGCGTGCAATTAAAAACGGAGAGAACGAGCAACCAGCAGAAGAAGAGTATGAATATGTAGGTGGTCCATACACCTGGATACATGAACCACTCCGTGTTCCGGTTCAGATCCGCCGGCGGCACCGTCTGCACGTACAGTTTTCCGATCATTTTGCACTGCACTGCGCTGCTAATTATTCAATTCCTTCTCTCTTACAATAAACCTAGAATTGATCAAACGCAAATGATTCAATGAGTCAGTATCGTAAGTTTCGATGTCGGTCTGTTCCAATCTTCGGGAGAGCAGTGGAGACTTGGATAAGCTCGAAGTTTGTTTTAATTTACGTTTTTCATTATTAAATGATAATATAGTTATTTATATTCAAAAACACTTATTTTTTAAAATTTTCACTTTCATATATATTTTGAAAATTTACTTTTGAGTGGTTTGACTCGGGCAATCTGCAAAAAAACATCCAATTGGTGTAAAATTCTTTTCCATAAGACCTCAATTATAGTGCAAAATTTGGTATGATGGATTAGGGCTAGATAATACTCTCGATCCTAATCAATCGAATCGAATTGAACGGTTCTTCTTAAATTAAATATCCGAACGGCATCTGAATTGAGAATTGACGGGTTCGATTCGATTCTTGGTTCTAGATCAATAACTGAAAAATCAAATAAAAATCGAATCTCCCTAATTTTTTAATTAATTTATTTTAAATAAACCAAATTATTTTATTTTTTCGAAATAAATTTGCAAACTAGTTAATTTAGCTGAAATTCAAAAGTATGATTTTCCTATTTCTAATTTTCAGTTTAAAACCAACTTAATCAAATTGATATAAGTTTTATTCAAATCTGTTAATATATTGCAGTGTCGTTTCTGCCGTTCTAGAGAAATCGAATTGAAACTCAACACCACCTCTCTTAATTATTGTGAGCTCGCTATTTTCCTCTTCTTGTGATTTTAACAATCAAATCTATGAAGAACTCAGCAAAGAGAGACGGCAAAAACACATAAAATTGAACTATGTTATTTTGTAAGAGCTAATATTGAATGTATCATTAGTTGAATTAATATAACTTTGTAAATATTGAAAAAATTAATTATAATACGAAACAAGGGAAACGAATGGAACCGAACCAAATGAAATCAAATCTGAACGGTTCCATAATTAAATTTGGACTCGATGATTTCACTTACTAAATACCAGAAAATTTCGGATCGAATTTGGTTCTCGTTTGAACAAAACCAAATCGGACCATGTCCAGCCCTATAATAAATAGAGTTACACATTTATACTAAGAGAATGTTTGGTGGAATTTAAAATTAAGATTTTTTAGGTTTGTTGACTAAAATCCAAGTTTTATTTTTGATCAAATAGTCCATTTTTTCATTCATATCTTCTTTCCAAAACTTGGATTCAGAAAGTTTACAGCATCTTCAGAGGTGGAATGTTCAGAATTTAGAGAGTTTAGGGCAGAGAAAAAGGTAACAAATTCATCATTGCTGAACCTGGTGGAGGACATTCTATTCCTCCTGTCTCTACCTCTAGTTAATTGGTAATCGGCAAGAGATGGATTATTAAATTCAACTTCGGGTTCAGGTTCACTCAGGTTCTGATTAATATTAGATTGGGTAGTCTCCACCTCAATTAAATAATCATAATCATTAGAGTTATTTGCTTGATTTTCAAGAATGGTTTCTTTCGTAGGTGCAAATTCAATAGATTATATTCCAGATGAGGTCTTGTAAGGCAATTCACTCTCATTAAAAATTATATTTCTGCTAATGATCACTTTGAAACCACTTTGGTTTCCTTCCCATACCCCAAGAAAACACAATTTAAGGATCTCGGTTCAAGTTTGCCTTCATTTTGATGGGAGTAGACTGTGCAGCCAAAAACTTTAAGTCTGCTATGCTCGGTATAGTGTTTGACCACAATTTTTTAGGGGCTTGAAAATCAATAGCACTTAAAGGACTTCTATTTATAAGATATATAGCTGTTTTTAAAGCTTCATCCTAAAAGAATTTGGGAGGCCCAGAGCTATGTAACATACACCTAACCTTTTCTAATAAGGTTCTATTCATTCTTTCAACAACATCATTCTATTGAGTAGTGTATGTCATAGTTCTATACCTTAAAATTCCAAATTCTTTACAAAAAGAATCAAATTCCATAATAGAAAATTCAATGTCATTATCAGTCCTTAATGCTTTGATTTTTCTATTGGTTTGATTTCCAATCATCAGTTTCTATTATCTAAAATTTTGAAAAGTATCAAATTTTGTTTCAAAAGGAAAGTCCATATTTTTCTTGAAAAGTTATCTACTATAAGTGGTAGAATTTGAGTTCACATAAGGTATTCACAGATGCTAGACCCCACAGGTCAACATGTAAATAATCCAAAATGACAGTGGATATGTGGGTTCCAGATCTAAAAGTTAATTTGCTCTGCTTTCCAATTACACAATCTTCTCAAAAGCTTAACTTTTCAATATTCTCTTTTTCCAAAGCATCCTAGTCTATTTAAAATGGCTAATCTATTTTTCAGACGTGTGGCCAATACTCTGAATTAACAACTGCAAAACAGTAGCCTACTAAAGGTTTAGCTTGCGGAGTGTAGATTCCACTTATCTTAGGAGATGAGATAACTTTTTTACGATAGAGACTCAGTTTTAAAAAGCTTTTATGAATCCTTATATCATAATCTTCATCTAATTCTCCTAAAGAAATCAGATTTCTTTTCAATTCAAGTACATACCTGACTTTATCTAGTTCAAGTATGTAGTTGTTTTCCAATAGAAGACTCATTTTTCCTATTCCCTTTATCTGACAACTCATATCATTTCCCATATGAACTTGTCCTCCATTAAGTCAACAAGTTTAGTGAACCAATCTTTGATAGGGGATATATGGAAAGTGTAACCAGAGTCTAGTACCCACTCTTTTAGGTCCCTATTAGTGGTATTAACAAGGACAACCCCCGACGATTTGGTTCATTTTTGTAAGCAACAGTTGCAGAACCATCAACATTGTGTTTGTTTTTCATATTAGAATTTTCTTGAACCGATCTTTTATTAGGTGTGCTGTGTATCCACAATAATTGCACTTTCTAATCTGATTCTTGAATTGTACTTGGTTCATTTTCTTATCTTTGAATTTGAAATTATGAGATTTCCCTTTCTTGTAAGAGTTAAAGTTACAAAAATTACTCATTCTGCTTTGGTTCAATTTTTCTCTTATGTGTAGACCTCCACTAAATTTTGGATCCTTGGACTCAGTTTTTAGTTCAAGTTCCTTGTTCCTTAGGACGGAGATTATTATATCAACTGTGAAATCTTGTCCTTCATATTCTAAGGCATTTTTTTATTTCCTATATCTATCACTTAGTGAATTTAATAGGGAAACAATCTGTTGATCCTCGGAGAGCTTCTTATCACAATTTTCTAGATCCTGAACTAATTTTATGTAATTATCAATATTTTTATCTAGGCTGGAGGAAGGATCAAACCTAAAATTATATAATTGCATTAAAAGGTAGCATTTGTTAGGTGTGGATTTAGTTAAATAATGGGTTTCTAACATAGTCTACAAGGCTTCAGCAGATGTAGTTTCACTAACTTTCCTATTCAGACTATAAAAAAGGTGAAGGAAAATAGAACTCCTGGCAGTATAATCTAATTCTTGTCTCTTATAGGCATTGGTTTCAGCAGCCTAAGTTTCATTAAGGATAGAGCACATCTCTGTTGCAACAACTGAGCTCTCATCTTCTAGTGCCAGAGACTAAAGTCTCTAGTACCATTCCACGTTTCAATCTCAAGCTGTATGCAGTGGACATGATGATAAATGCAATGTTAGAATCTCAATTACTATAATTAAGAAGTACAGTTATCAAACTTCGAATAGGATTAAGGTATGGTAACCTCAATTCTACTACGCTCTCATATTCCCAAAATCTCGAATGAGATCTTAGACAAAGGAAAGCAATGGAGGATCACTTACCTTAATAACCAGTTTCAAAAATTAACACCAATTAACAAAAGTAGAGGTGGGTGTTCAACGAATGCAAAATCGAACTAAGAATTTAAGTATCGGTGCAAGGGTTCAACAAGTCACAAAGACTCAGTAAGAACTCAACAGGAATCAAATGGAGTCAACACAACTCACCAAGAACTCAGTATGAGTCAAGAGAACTACTAGGACTCAGTAGTAAGTCGGATCATAAATCTCTAGAACTCAACACAAACAGCAAATTATAAGGGATCAAGATTTAGTCACAAGGTTTTTAAGAAGAAAATTGATTTAAAAACCAAGAATAGAAAGAATCACAATAGATCTCACAGATCTACTCAAGAAATACTTGAATCTTTAGAAGATTTGATGAGAAAGTTGAATTGAAGGAAGATCAACAGTTAATCTTTTCAGAAAAACAAATTTCTCTCACAGAGCCTTTATAAATTTCAAGATCTGTGAAATTTTTAGTAGTTTCAAAAGTTAGGGTTTTTTAAAAATCCAAACACTTATCCAAATCTTTTAAGAAAAAGATGCTCTAATACCACTTGTTGGTCTCAAGCCATTTATTCGAAAACAATTTGAACAGAAAAATACCAAAATGTATAAATCCCTAAATGTGAAAACGAAGAACACGAAGAATCTTCTCACCACAAAGGGCCCGAATGTTAAGCATTTAAGCCTACTAACCACGTTCAGCATTTGCAAAGTATATATAGCTCTAGTTTCACTAGAATCACCAAGAATCGTTACAAATGTACAAGTAAACCAGAAATTTCTTCACTATTTTCTCTCACCTCAACACACAGAACAAAAGCCTCACCATAGTACTAAACAACCTCACACAATTATACACTAAGTAGAACATCTGAAGAATCACTCAGATTACCGAGATTAAACCACAATCATAAAGAATACATGGCATGGCAAAAAGAAGAGAGAAAACGCTTGAACACTCAGTTCAATCCCACTATAGAATGAAAAGCCAAAAGACTCTTAAATGGACAAGGCCAAAGTCACAAATCAACGGCTGGGAGATGGCCAGATTACAGATCCAAGAAAAGGAAGATGCGTGTTCATAAGGCACACGATTTCATCTCACAAATGGGCCACAATTTGAAAACAGCAACACAGGCCCAAATACTAAAGACCAGGTATAGTGAGACAACCCATAAACTTAACATGTTGATTGAACAAGAATGTCTATACGAGGTTTCACTATTGTGTCATTTTATGTTTGTAGGTTGTGGTGCTTCTTTCGGATACTCTCATTGGGATTTGGCTTCCTTTGTAGAATTAATGGTCTCTTCATACCTCCATTTAATATTTAGAGGTGAAAACTTAATACCCCTATTTAATATTTATGGGGTGAAGACAATCTTGCTTGTATGACATTGTATACAATTTCTTGGTTTTGGATATTTTTTTCTAGATTTTGCTGCTTATACATAAAAATAGTACATAAGCGATTACCGAAAATAATATGGAAGTAAAAGATTGAATGAAAAAGTTGACTATGTCTTATTCTGGTAAATGATAGAGTGTCATGTGGATATTATGTTATCCATTATATAAACCTTGATATACATGTAACAAGTCATTCACCTATTCTACTTCATACTATTTTCAATCGTCATTTGGGTTTATTTGTATCTTAGTACTAATCTCTCATGTGGGTAGGACAGTTTGACGTAGACTGTTTATCGTCAAATCAAAACCTGATGAAGGATTCAACGCCTTGTGTGAAATAATAGTTATGAGTATATAACTTACATGAATGCACATTTTCATAATCTGTCTCAAACCTAGATAAGGAAATAACTAGTTAGCATTAAATTTCATCACATCTTATAATACTAGTATTATAAACATTATTGAAAGAAGAATGAAGTGCAGCTTAAAATAAAATGGCATGTTTTAATAATTTAATTGCATTGAATATTTGAGTAATGTAGTTCGAGTGGCAAAAGAATTCATCCTAAAAGTCTCGTGTGTAGGTTTATATTTGATATATATCCTCCACTATAGGTGAGGGAAAAAAAAAAGTCTTTTTAAAAATGGTAAAATGATAATAGACATTTATTTCAACGAGTATAATAATATTAAGTTCTTTTGTATGTTGTTTTTACCTATATTCTACTTCAAAGGCAAACTGCTTTAATTACTTTCAATTTTATAATCGAAGTTTGTTAATGAATGATCAAATGTGAAGACAAAGAGTATCCCAAATGGGGCCTTTGAGTGTGACTGTATTATTGAAAGATTTGTACGAAAATTATATTTTAATGTTACTTATTTATAAACTTTTGGTCTATATAATTTATAATGGATAATTGGTACCATACCGGAGTGCTCTTTAATCAATCCTTTCCCATCATTGTCATGACGTAATTATTGAGTAATTTAATTGGGAAAATTGCATAATTGGTGTCCAATATATTAATTGTATAACAAGTCCCTACCCTTTAAAATAGGGCATTTGATCCTCAGTCTTATGTTGTTGAACAAGTAGTTCGAGTAGATGGTTTGTGTCCCAGTTGCTATCGAATTAGCATGTGACTCTCGCATGTCTACTTCTTTGAAGGTAAAATGAATAGATACTTTATAAATAAATAAAAAAATGAAAAGAAAAAAAAATTTCTTTTTTTCTAAAGAAAAAAGAGAATTTTAATAGTAACATGAACAAAATCGTTCAATAATAATGAAATGTTAAAGACCATAATGATCTGCTTTAAAAGTTGACACACAGTTGAGACTGAAATATATCCTCTTAATAGTTATCGGTATAAAAACAAACAAAATCTATCAGTTAAGAACATAAATTGACTCCAAACAAACTCTCATTGCAAATCAAAAATAGATTTTATCAATTCAAATATATGTCTTTTATCTATAAATAGGACCTCTTACAGTCCTTCTAGTATTATATACCAGTACGTACATTCTTGTATTCCTCACTTTTCAACTATACTTAACATCCTATTCCCATCGAGTACTGACTTAGACATCAGTCGGGAAGTCAATTTTTGTTATCATGATGACTATCTTGACAGGCATGCCATAGATTGGGACCCATCATACAATTTTCCCTAATTAATATTATGTCTTGTTTGGAATCATCACTCAATCTTTTATTTTATTTGCATTGGCCTGCTAATTAAAGGGTTTTTCTTATCATTTACCCTGAAGAATCTTCAATACAGAATAACATTTCAGTTATTTCTCTAGCATTCATCAGCTCATCAAATAGTAAGAGAGATTTTGGGAGTTTGAAAAATGGAAGACTCGATTGGTCCAAGGTTGTACAGCTGCTATAAATGTCGAAACCATTTAGCTCTTCATGATGATATCATTTCAAAAGGTTTTCAGGTGATTATTCTATTTCGATCATTGTACGTCATTCACACACAACTGATGATTTATTCTTGTTGGTCGTAAGTTCACGTGTTCTGCTGATTTTAACAGTCGAAAAATGGGAGAGCCTATCTTTTTACACATGTGAGGAATGTTTTCGAAGGGCCTAAAGCCGACCGGCAGCTGATCACCGGTCTGCACACAGTGGCCGACGTGCACTGCGCCGATTGCCGAGAGGTTTTGGGATGGAAGTACGAGAAGGCATACGAGGAATCCGAGAAGTACAAGGAAGGAAAAGTTGTGCTTGAAAAGTTTAAGATTGTTAAGGAGAATTGGTAGTTCCTATTACTGTTTCATAGCCAAAAATCCTGTCTCTTGTGTTGTACAGAGAATCTCATGAAGTGAAACTTGTCTTCATTAACTGTGAACCGTAAATAAGATTTGTGGATAATGATTTGTTCTGTTAATAAATTTGTGGGTTTAACAAATTATGATGCGCTCTCTCTCTCTCTCTCGATCGATCGATCGATTGATCGACTGGAAGATTTATTTTTCGATTATACTAGAAATTTGAGTTGAAGTCTATTTTATAAATGTAGATATTGTTCAATCTTATTCACTTTTATATTGTTTATTTACTGGTTTCTTCAGTCTTTGTTAGGATAAAGAAACAAGAAATTTCGAAGGGAGCAAATATTGATTTTGTTGCCTATGGAATCTTGACTACAATTTAAAGAATCGATCATTTAGCATTGTTAACATTCTGTTGAAGTAGCTTCGTAGAGAACAATTTACTTGTATAAGATAGTTACCTTTAAATGCAATTCAGCCCCAGCTTGACTACCATTTTTAAGAGAATGAAATTTTGACTATGTAAATTTTTGGATAATGTATGTTTAAAGAGCAGAAATTTTTTTTTTGAGTTTATATACAAAATATTTTATTGTGAGAATGATGTGGTTGAAAATTAGTTTGAGACAAAAATTTAAAATAATAATAGACAAATAGGGGTTCATGTTGTCACATGAAAAGAGTATAGCATATCTATTTTTTTAATAGGGAAAAAAGGACTAATAATATAGGGATTCATGTTTTCAATCTAATTCTAATGAAAAATTGAATTATCAATTTTCAAAACACTAATAAAATAAGTGGCTATCTTTGAGCGTAGGAGTAAATGCATACTTTAGCTGTGTAATATTTAATGAAAAGGGCATTGTCTTGTCACAATCAACTACAAGTAATTGATTTTACCTTAAAATTCTTGAAGCAGTTTCAACGAGTTCTTTCATATATGATCTAAGGCTTCGTTTGATTGTAAAAATGGAATTTAGGTGAAAAGAAAATGAATTTCAGGGAATTAAATTGTTTAGAAATTATTTTTCTGAAAATTATAAATTATTATATTTGATTAGTATAATTTTTCACGTGGAGTATGTTGAAATAAAAGTGTTTTTTTGGTGTTTGTTTGGCTCTGTTTTATATGAAAATTGTCAATTAAAGGGATAGAATCTACTGGTATTGGGGATGAAACTTGTTTCCATTGCAAAAAAAAATCATCAAGAAAATTATCTATCTTTTGGTGTTCGTTTGACTTTATTTTATATGAAAATTGTCAATTAAAAGAAAATATTTTTTTACAATAATTCTTAGAATTTGTTTCCATTTCCAAAATAAAAATAATAATAATAATAATGGTATAGTGATTGGAATTGGATTCTCATCATATTGGTGAGAATTTCAATTCAAGGAAAATGTGGAATTCAGCTTAGGTGGCAAAAAAAGTGGAAAATGAATTCTAGGTAAAAAAAAATGCTATTAAACAATGCAAAAGTAGAAGTTGGAATTGATTTTCCATTTTCTAGGGAAAATTTTGGCTTATCAAACATACCCTAAAAATAGGATCACTCCAAGAGTTGGGAGACTTATGCCCAATTATACATGGATACAATTCCCCCACCCCGCCGCGGGGCTTCAATAAGTTGATATTTTGTGAGACCATCAATATTCCATTCAACTCCGGATTGACCATGATAAACTCTTTGATATCTTGTCTTTTCTTCAAAGAGTAAATTAGGGGGTGTATTTTGAGGATAATAAGGGGGGACTTTTGAATAATTATTCTTTTGACCTCTTAATTTGTTAACATGGAGAATTTCTTCATCAACAAATTGAGATTAAAGTTTATCAATAGTATTAATTATTTTTGATTCAGAGGATGATAATTTGGATAACTGAATAGCTAGTTTTTTTGAAACATTGGCTTTGGTATTAAGACTTCCTAATTGAGGAACTGCCTCATGTGACTTGAATAAAGAACTGACAGTTATCTTTCCTTTATTGATATTTTTGGAAGAGGAAGCTTCAGATTTAGAATTGGTCTCAATTCTATTGAGTTGCGAACACAAAGATTGTAAAACAATATGTGTATAATTGTTTTGAACTTGAATATTTTTAATATCTTTTGCTATGAGTCCAGATTCATCTGATCGTTCAGAAGATATTTTCTTGAGAGGAAAAGCAAGAATTTCCATATTTCCTTGAGAAACAACTATTTTTTGCGTAGGAGGATGACAAGTTTCAAAAGTATCACTAGAAGGCGTTTTCTATATCCTTTTTGGTGTATTTGTAATTTGAGTAGTTTTTCCTTCGGTTGGTTTTTTGTTATAAACTTTGAAATATGCTCACTCATTAAAATTTAAATTTTCCGAAAAAGCATAAAATTCTTCCTAAAATGATTCAATTTTTCTCTTTCTAGAAGCTTTTCTAAGTAATTTTCTAAAATTTATGACAACAGGAGATTGATCAGTCTTGAACTCATTTCTTCTATCAATTATAGAAGAAATAACATTACATTGGTTATCTAATCTTTAGGAAGGATTAGGTAGCATATCAGATAAAGTTGGGGAACCAAGTTGTTCTTATTCTTCATTTTTGTCAGTATTATATTGAGGTTTTGGAATATTATGAGTAAAATCAACTCTTTTTAGAGAAGATGTTGAAAATCTTGCAAATTGAAAAGACATGACTTTGATTTATCTTCAGATCTAGGAGAGTATGATTTTTGAAGACTTTTAGATAATGATCCTTTAAAAATCATCTTTACATGTCCACTTGGAAAAGAAACAATTTGATTCAGAGTTGTTTGAGTAATGAAAGGAATTGGATTATGAGCATTCTCAAAATCCCATTCTAATCCTATAGATTGAAGGTTCCATGGTATTCCTTTAAGAATCATGTTGTTGGAATGAAGAGGATTGACTTCTACAGGAAGTCTTTCTTCTTTTGGAGATGATCAAAGAGTATGAATATTGAATTGAGTGTTCATAAATTTGTAATATATTCTCTATATTACAGCAAATGCATTTTATGAAATTTAAAATTTTTTTTTTTTTTTTTTTTATATATATGAAGATTTAGAGCATTGAGAATAGCTTTATCATTTAAATTGATTGCAAATTTTGGACAACAATTTGAGAATATGGGATGACTTTCTAGATTCGATTCTAGACCAGATAGTAATGAATTTTCAAATTTGAGAAGTCTCTTATATTTGAGAGTTAAGAGAATAAGAATGTCCAAATCAAATTGAAAGATTATTTTTTAAAGTAGTTTGAACTAATTTCACATGAATATATTTAAATTTCTTCCTAAGAGATTGAATAGCATCTTATGAAAATAAATTAATATAAACATTTTGATTTTTAATAGGTAGAGTTTACTCAAGAGTTTTGATAATATAATTTTGATGAAAATCAAACTTTTCTATTTCATAGATGGAACTTTTGTCCACCTTTGGAATACTCTAGTTATGTAATTTTTGTTCAATTTGAGTAATCTAAAATTCACGAAAATTGAAATCATTTGATGCAGATGTTGGATGATCTAATTCTTCTTCATTTTGAAAAGCGTTTGAAACACTATTATCTCTATTAATACTTGATTTCCTAAACCAGTTCGACATTAAGGATATAATTGAATAAAGTAAAATTAAAATGACTTACCACTATAGACACTATGTTTTAGGACAAACTGACTTTCATCAAACCTACAACGAGACCTCTTGACACACCTACTCTGGCAACATGGGCTGCCCAATACTATTCAGTAGACATCTAGGCTAAAATCAAATTTTCTTTTGACACAATAACTAGAATGATAAATCATAGTAACCTCGCTTCATTCTATTAAGGCTCTGATACCAAAGAAGGCCTAGGTGATAAATGGTGATAAAAGATAGCGTAAGAACACAATAAATGAGGAAGAAATATTTTGATTTAATTCAAATATAAAATTGAAAATACAAGATACAAGATTGAAAGTACAGGTTTGAAAATAAAAGATTTAAAAGAAATTTAAAAATTGATACAAGGTTTCTAAACTTTCTTGAAGATGTTTTATCCTCTGCTAACAGTTGAGGATCTTGAGCTATCGATTGCTTTTATACTTGATCTCCTCAGATTCAAAAATTTCTTGAACTTAATTGAATAATCTTGAAGGACAATTATTTCAATAATAACTGTCTTTGTAAATAGTCCGTTGTTGGCCATGATTTTTAAAATTCTATCGTCTTCTTCCAGCCTTTTGAATAATTGGAATCTAGTTTAAAGCTGCTTTATTAAAGTTGTCTTCTTTGGGTGTTGGTATTGCTAGCAAAAATAACTTTTGAGGTGATAGGCACATTTGAAACAATACATTTCTTGCATTATGAGCCCGATAATTTCTGTATTCATCAAGATAGCTGGGTTCATATAGTCATTTTGAATGCTTTTGAGTCTCCTGGGTAATTAGTTCATCAATATTCAGTCCATAGCAATCATAAATCAAATTGAGAAGAGTCATCAACGGATTTTGTTCTCTTTGATAATGCTTCAGCTAAATTGGCAATTTTCTTTGAAATAATTGTTAATTTTTTCAAAGTCTTATACTGATTAAGCATGGAAAGAAGCCTTGATTTTTCTGTAAGGAAATCGATATGTTTTCTTCTTCTTTTTGAGAAAGCTTTGTAATATCAATATTCCTTTGTTCTTGAATCCAAGAGCTAATAGCCTTGGGACAGCAGTTAGTCTCATGATATTTTGACAACCATCTGATTTTGAATCGTCTAACAATTTTCTTGACACAGAAATTGGATTTTGTATTTTCAATGATATGGAAATCCCAATAGAAAATACACAAAACTTTGAGATTAAGAGCAAATTGAAATAAAAGATTTTCATGAGACTTTAAAATATTTTTTGCCTCATTCTTGAAATGTTCGAATCCTTGATGAGTAAGATTGGATAAAATCGTCTCATCAAGACCAAACTAGTCAAACCAAGTTTGAAACCATTTTTAAAAATTTGTAGAACATGCCTAATGAAAGAGAATAAACCAAGAGTGTCACAAGTCTATAATAAAAAAATTGAACTAGACATTTTTATAATAAAAATAATTGAAGCGAGATTTGAATGAATCATCTTTAGATAATTTTATTCGCTTCTCTTCCCACAGATACAATCTCTAGTTTTCGCAAGACAATACCCTTTGAATTGATATCTTGAAAAATCAATATAATTTGGTTTTTCAGAATTTAGGGTATGAGTTATTATAGTTAATCATGATTTAATGAGGATAGCTTCATAATAAAATTTGATAGCATCATAAGGCGAGGTCGAATCAAACATCATGAACTCAACGTTTCATTAAGTCTTTCATGGTATGTAATCGGCTTCAATTGTGAGCTTGATCAATTCATTTGCCCTAGTCAAAGCTCCATTTGTAATTTGATCATTTTAGGAAAATAATAGAGGATAGCTCCTTATTGCTAGCTTATAATTGATTTTGTTAAAAGTGACATGCTTTGTTCATTTACCCACATGTATTGAGTTCGGATGAGGTAAAGGTTTGCACCCTTTATACTTTTATTTTTCTCGCATATTGCTTCATACTTCGCGAATGGTGGGAAGGGTTCGTCCTAGTCTCTTTTTTGGATAAATACCAGCACATTAGTCCAAGTCGAGACAATAAAAATTACTATATAATAGGGATTATTAATTTACTGAGTATTGATTTATAGATGTTGTATTATATTTGAAAAAAGCTTTCGCTCAATGGTTGAAAATAGTTTTTATAATAATTAGAAATGTTCAAAGTTACAGTAGTAGTAGTAGTAGTAGTAGTAGTAGTAGTAGTAGTAATAATAATAATAATAATAATAATAATAATAATAATAATAATAATAATAATAATAGAAAGCAGGCATTATTACTTATTAGTGATTTTTGAAGGTAGACTTATCTTACGGGCCTTAAAAATTATGACTATTGATGATTTCATTCAAAATTACATTATAAAAGTAATTAGGGAAAATTACCTAGAAACCTACATATAAAGTCTAATTTTCAAAAATAAGGGAGTTAATTATCATTTTAAAATTAGGTGCTAATTAAATTTTAATAATTATAAGTAATAAAAATTTAATTAAACCTAATATACATATTCACCCCACCCATCCCCATTCATCCCAAATTGAAATTCATTTTCAGGCCTTAAATATTTTCTCACCTTCTTCCTATCTTCATCACCCTTTCTACCCCAACCTTTCTACCACTCTTATTTCTAGCATTGCTACTCGTAGTGACATGTAGCATGAATGTTACTTTTCCATTGGAATACTACATGCGACAAGCAGTGATGGCAATTTGCACCATGAGCGTTGTCGATGATCTAACCCACAAGAGGCATTGACAATTTGCTCCATCATCGCTGCACAAACGGTGATGCCCGATACATACGTCGTGCAACACCTCTTATGGTGATGTTGAACATCGAGCGCAGCGCACAACATTGACATTGTCTATTAGTTGAACGTCGATAGTTTGTGGTTTGTCTATATTTTATGGTTTTTGTTGGTGATTGTTGGTTGTTGGTGGTGATGTTGTTGTTGTTTGTTAAGTGATCGTAGTGGTGATGTTGGCAGTAGTTGTGTTGCTGGAGGCAATAGGGTAAGGTAGCACGACATTTGATTGGTGTCGATCATTGTCGTGGATTTGACTTAAAGGTGGTAATAGTGGTGCATTGAAGGTGATAGTGGTGGTGATTGACGGTAGATTGTGGTGCTAGTCTACAATATGTGCAGATTTGTTTGTGGTGACTCTCTTTGACCAATTATGTGTTTATTATGATTGGTTGTGATCGATTTTATGTTAATTGTGATTGATTGTGACTTGATCCTATATCATCACAGTTAATATTGATTTGATCACAAGCAGTCACATTGAAAATAAATTTGGTCACAATTAATCATACTGAACATAAATTTGGTCACATTTTGTCACCAAATAATACATGTTAGTGACTCAATTGCATACAGTTACAAATTAGACGATCACAGACAGTAACACTAAAGACAAATTTGATTACTAATCTAATCACAGACAATAAACCTGGCCACAAATATGGGATAGGGTGCGGGGGTTCCACGGCGTGGGGTGTAATCTCCAAGAAAACATTTTAAATTTGTGGAGATTTTCTATAGGTGGAGTGGGATGGGGTGGGATGATGTAGGGTGGGTGGATGAGGGTTCCGTCTGGGGTTGGGTGTAACCTAGTAACCTATAGATAGAGTCCTCAAATTTGGAAATTTTCTGTAGGTGAGATGTGAGATATGTAGGGGTCCGAGGTTCGTGGGGGATATAATGTATGTCAATTGTGTGTGTGTATGTATAAATATGAAATTAATACCTGAATTTTGAAGTAATTTGACAAGAATGTCAGTTTTGAAATGTGTTTTTTATAATGTAGTATATTGTTCCCTATTAATTAAGCCTGCCTTAAAAAAATTAAAAAAATAAAGGTTATTTTTCGATCCTTCATATATTTGGGGACCTAGGCAGCAGCCCATGCCTAGGACTTTTTTTGTATAAAAGTCCAAGCCACTAGATGATATTATAGACACGATCATTTAAATATTATTTTTAA